AAAAAAAAAAAACTCTTGGAAAATATGAAAGGAAACAATCACCCAGGCTCCCACCACCCAAAGACAACCATAGTTAAACCTTTAATGAGAAAGAAAAGCAGGGAGAGAAAGACAAAAATACTAACAGAATGTCTTTGTCAGTTCCTTTGCTTTCCAATATCAAAACAAAGAAAATAGGAATGAATGTTTGGCTTCTCACGTCACGAGTTTCCCCAGAGAGGACATAATTTTTCTTTTTTCTTTCCTCCTTGTAGGACTTTAACTTAAAAACTTTAAGATGCATGAAATATATTTGCGTGTAAGTTACTTATGTAGAAAGGCAACTTCTTCTTCTCCAAACTGCGACCCGTTTGAAACGACAGCATGTGTTGAATAACCCATTTTTGCCCCCACTGATTTAAAATACCACTTTTCTCATGTATGGTGCTAAACTCCACATACAGTGTTAAAATGTGTAACTTGTAAAAAAACAATTTGTTTTTAAGTTATTTATTTTGAGAGAGAGAGAGAGCACAAGCAGGGGAGGGGCAGAGAGAGGGAGAGACAGAATCCCAAGCAGGCTCCAGGCTGTCAGCACAGAGCCCGATGCGGGGCTCAAACTCATGAACTGTGAGATCACAACCTGAGCTGAAGTCAGATGCTTAACTGACTGAGCCCCCCAGGCGCCCCTATTCTTTTTTTTTTTTTAAAGGTTTTATTTAAAAAAAAATTTTTTTTAACGTTTATTTATTTTTGAGACAGAGAGAGACAGAGCATGAACGGGGGAGGGGCAGAGAGAGGGAGACACAGAATGTGAAGCAGGCTCCAGGCTCTGAGCTGTCAGCACAGAGCCCCACGCAGGGCTCGAACTCACAGACCGTGAGATCACGACCTGAGCCGAAGTCGGACGCTTAATCGACTGAGCCACCCAGGCACCCCTGAAAGTTTTATTTTTAAGTAACCTCCACACCCCGTATAGGGCTCTAAACCTACAACCCCGAGACCAAGAGTCTCATGCTCCACCAAGAGAGCCAGCCAGGCGCCCCGGTGTCTCTTGATTTTTAAAAGCCCACTTCCCCGGTTTAAAAAAGAAACACCTTCTGTGTTGTTAGGTCCTGAGCTAGATATGTTACATAGACTTGCTCTCTGAAGGGCACCTTACCATCAACCCATTTTACAGATGCAGCCAGTGGTGTAATGAGAGCAGTGTAAGAAATGCAGAGATCAAGGCACATTCTGCCATGTTTTCTTCACCTGCAGGAGTACTGCAAGTTTAAGAACACTGAGGACGGTGCCTTCCCGAGTGTTTACATAGGACTCAAGGATAAGCTCTCGGGCATCCGCAAGGTCATCACAGACTCCACTGTTCACTTAATCCAGTTGCTACAGAACTACAAGGTCCAGCTCCAGGATTTCTGCAAGGAAGGTGAGAGGCTGTCCGGGCCGTGGGCTGTGGTATGAGTGTTTCTCAGAGTAGTTGGTGGGGAAGGTGAGGGACAGCCAGGGGAGAGCGGGGGAAATCAGGGGGAATGTCTCATTTTCAAAGCCGTGCTTTGGCCGGGCCACGTCGCTAATGGACGCTTAGTTTGATGACTTTATTTTGTGATTGAGGCCCAGAGATGTCGAGTTAGTTACATCGTGCAGTTGGCTTGCGTTTTTGAGGTTGTGAATGCCTGTACTTTTAAGTGGAATCCAAGCCAGTCTGGGATCTTTCTCCAGCGTATTATGCTTCACCCATGAGAGAAATGTGGCCCATTGGGCACAGCTCTCTCTGACATGACTGGAGTCCAGTCCTTCCCCCAGGGAGCTCGGGGAAGAGTGGCTGGGAAGTCCTGCTTCTTAGGTTCTCCTGACCACCTGGACAGGTGTGCATTCATAACCCTCTGATTTTTCTAGAGGAATATGATATCAGAACTCAAGTGTCTGCCGTGGTCCAGCGCAAGTACTGGACCTCAAAACCTGAGCCCAGCACCCGGCACCAGTTCCTCCAGTGTAAGTTGTGAACAGCTTCCTCTTCCCCTCTCATCGACGTCAGCGTAATGCTCTGGTGAAGCACGAACCCCATCTTTCTCTTTTGTTCTTCTAAAAATTTTTAAAGAATTTTTTAATGTTTATTTTTGAGAGAGAGAGAGAGAGAGCACGCACACAAGGGGGGGAGGGGCAGAGAGTGAGGAAGACACAGCATCCGAAGCAGGCGCCAGGCTCCGAGCTGTCGGCACAGAGCCCGACGCGGGGCTCGAACCCATGAACCCATGAGGTCGTGACCTGAGCCGAAGTCATACGCTTGGCCGACGGAGCCCCCCAGGCGCCCCAAGAGCACCATCTCTCATTAAGTTTCAGGTTCTCGCAACCCCAGGTGTATCCCTAAATGGGACATATAAACAATTTAATGAAAAAGTTATTTTTTTACTTTTCACGTTTGAGGCAATTTCAAATTTACAAAAACGTTGCAAAAATAGGACAAAGAATTCCCGTCGACCTTTCATCCAGCTTCTCCAAACGTTAATGCTTTGTATAATTACAGCGCGTTGACCGAAACCAGGAAGTGGACATTGGCACACTGCTATAAGCTCATCTACAGAATTTATTCAAGTGTTTCACCAAGTGCTCCAACCAGTGTCCTTTTTCTGACCCATAGTCTGATCCAGGATCACAAATGTTTCCATGCCTCCTTAGTCTCTCCCAGTCTGGGTCCAGTCCCTTAGTTTTTCTTTGTCTTTCATGACCTTGGCACTTTTGAAGATCCTGGTTAGTTGCAAATAGCTCACGAGATTTATTTATTTATTTTTGAGAGAGAGATAGAGAACCAGAGCTAGTGCAAGCAGGGGAAGGGCAGAGAAAGACAGGTAGAGAGAGAGAGAAAGAGAATCCCAAGCAGGGTCCAAGCTGTCAGCGCAGAGCCCGACATGGGGCTCCATGCCCAGAAACCATGAGATCATGATCTGAGTGGAAATCAGGAGTCGGGTGCTTAACCGACTGAACCACCCAGGCGTCCCTGGAATTTAAATAGACTTGAATATGCTAATTCACTTGGAAAATATAAGAGCCCAAGATAGAGTCCCATGTGACATGTGGAGTTTATAGACCGGAAGGAAGACAGGCACGAAACAAACACACAAATAAATGGATTATACACATTTTGCTGAGCACCATGAAGTTTAAACGGCCAGAGTGCTCCGAGAGAAAGTGATGGGGAGTCATCTGCCCCAGATTATGGTCACAGAGGGCCTCTTTGAGGACATGCACCGTTAGCTACCATTTGAAAGGATCGGTAGGAATGACCTAGGCTCAGGGTCGGCGATGATCATGTCGCAGATGGAAATGGTCTGTGCTAAAGGGCTCAGTGTTGCGTGCTTCTGAGGTCAGGGTGGCTGGAGTGTGGCAGTCAAGGGGCAGAGGGCAGGAGATGCGGCTGGAGACACAGGCCAGGGCCAGTCATGCGTGGCTGTGCAGGCGGGGGTGAGGGGGTCACTGCTTTATTCTGTGGGCAGAGGGCCCCATCAAAGGTCTTTAAGCTGGGGTGACATGATTTCCCTTAGCCTGTACCCTGAAACATACCCTGTGGCTCTGTTGTGGAGAAGGGCCGGAAGGGGGTCACGGCTGAGGGGCCAGCAAAGAGCCCGTTCTGGACTAGATCGGGGGTGAAGCAGCGGGCTGGACAGAAGTGGGATCTACAGGGCTTGATGCTGCCTGTGGGTGGGGGCGGGTGGAGAGGAGGGAGGAGCCAGGTGGGGGGTGAGGATGGGGGCAGAGACATTTCAAAAATAACTTGAGCGTGACTTGAGCAACTGGGTGCCTGGAGGTGCCATTATTATCTTTATTCTCCGGGGTTGGCGAGAGGATGTGTTTGAGGGAATGTTTGAGCAATCACCAGGCTAAATATTGGTCAATTAAAAAAAAAAAAATGAAAAGGGGCACCTGGGTGGCTCAGTGGGTTAAGCATCTGATGCTTGATTTTGGCCCAGGTCATGATCTCACGGTTCGTGGGCTCGAACCCCACGTCAGGCTCTGTGCTGACAGCCTGGTTGGGCTTCTGTCTCCCTCACTCTCTGCCCCTCCCCTGCTCGCTCTCTCTCTCTCAAAATAAATAAACAAATAAATACATAACGAAAGAATCACGTGTGGGTGGGTGAATGCGTATTTCCACCAGCCCTGGCCCACACCGAGAAGAAGAGTGTGGCCTTCGATACGTATTTGTTGGATGAATGAATGAATGAATGAATGGGCGAGAGAGTGAATGAATCCGTGGATTTTGTGTCTTGATTCAGCTCAGCAAATAATGCAGCAAATGCCCGGCGATTTGAACTTCAGAAAGGAAGGAAGTGGAGTGATTTGAGTTCTTTCTGTTTTGGTTTTCGCCCACCTCTTTCCCAGGGTGGGGGTGGGGGGCTGGACAGTCGCCCCAGTAAACAGAGAGGCAGAGAGAGGTGTTTTCTCATGCTTGGGAGGCTGGCTGGGTTTGAAGTGTTCCGTCCGAATCCGCCGTCAGTTCCTGCCCTTCTGTACCTCCTCAGATGCATGTGACATCTCGTTTGACCCGGACACGGCACACAGGTATCTCCGGCTGCAGGAGGACAATCGCAAGGTCACCAACACCACGCCCTGGGAGCATCCCTACCCGGACCTCCCCAGCAGGTTTGTGCACTGGCGGCAGGTGCTGTCGCAGCAGAGCCTGTACCTGCACAGGTACTATTTTGAGGTAGAGACCTCCGGGGCGGGCACCTATGTTGGCCTCACCTGCAGAGGCATCGACCGGAAGGGGGATGAACGCAACGGTTGCATTTCTGGGAACGACTTCTCCTGGAGCCTCCACTGGAATGGGAAGGAGTTCACAGCCTGGCACAGTGACACGGAGACCCCGCTCAAAGCCAGACCTTCCCGGAGGCTGGGGATCTACGTCGACTTTCCGGGAGGGATCCTGTCCTTCTACGGCGTGGAGTCTGACGTCATGACTCTGGTTCACAAGTTTGAGTGCAAGTTTTCGGAGCCGGTCTACCCTGCCTTCTGGCTTTCCAAGAAGGAAAACTCCATCCGGATCATGGATCTGGGAGAGGAGCCCGAGAAGCCAATGCCAACTTCAGTGCAGGCTGCTCCCTAGACTCCAGCCTCCGTCCCTCAGACTCTTACTGACCACAAAAGATGGGACAGCGGCTTGCATCTTAAGGGTGGCCCGGGGATGGAAATCTCCACCAGAGGAGAAAGGTCTCTGGCTTCTCCCTCCTGCTCCCTGCTGTGCTGTTCTCTCTGTTTGCAGTAATCCCTAAGCACCTGCCTCCTCTTTCTCACCTTCTAGTGATATTCTCCTGTCTGCTCAGGTGCCTAGATTCAGTAGCCGGGAACCTTCAGAGTGATCCCCAAAAGATTGCAGAGTAATCAGAATAGATCGCAAGCTCTGTGTTGCACTTCTGGGTACCGTGTGGCCATTATGAACTCACTTAACCTTCACAGCAGCTCATATCCTCCTCTTTTGCAGATGGGGAAACTGTGGTTCGGGCGGGAGTGGGGGGGGTGCTGGTCAGTTAACTTGCTCGAAGTCATTGTGATCACATGGTGAGCAAGTGGCAGAGCCGGGACTCGAACCTGGGCAGATCGGTGCTGAGATTTTAACCAGTCCCCCACGCTGCCCTCCTCATTAGATCATGGGTATCGTGGGTAAGGGAATAAGCCACATGATGAACTCCAGGCATGGACACCGAGTGTCTCGAACCTTCAGTGTCTTAGCATCCACTCCGTCTGGCTGGGCCACTCAGCTGCGTAGTGGCAGTGACCTCACTACCTCACACAGCAGCTCATCGTAGTTTTGGATAGTGAACATTAGAAGAAATGTCTTAAAAAAATTTTTTTTAACGTTTATTTATTTTTGAGACAGAGAGAGACAGAGCATGAACGGGGGAAGGTCAGAGAGAGAGGGAGACACAGAATCGGAAGCAGGCTCCAGGCTCTGAGCCATCAGCCCAGAGCCCGACGTGGGCCTCGAACTCATGGATGGCGAGATCATGACCTGAGCTGAAGTCGGACACTTAACCAACTGAGCCACCCAGGCGCCCCTAAAAATTTTTTTTATATGTTTATTTATTTTTGAGAGAGAGAGATAGAGTGCGAGTGGGGGAGGGGCAGAGAGAGAGAGGGAGACACAGAATCCGAAGCAGCTCCAGGCTCCGAGCCATCAGCACAGAGCCTGATGCGGGGCGGGGCTTGAACTCATGAACTTCGAGATCATAACCTGAGCCCAAGTCAGATGCTTAACCGACTGAGCCACACAGGTGCTCCCAGAAGAAATGTTTTAATGGAGTCCAAGTTCTAGTCCCTGTGACCTCCGAGGAGGGGTCTCCCCTTGACTATGTGGACTTGTCTGATTTCTCATTCAGAGGACAGACCTTCAACTGTATGAAGGCAGTTCTCACGCACGTCCTCCAAGGAAGTTTGTTTTCACCCTACGTTTCCCACTTTTCCTTCATAACTTCTGGGTCTTTTCCTGTGACCTGTGTCAAGGCAAGTTATCGTCCTCTTTGACAGTCTGATGGTCCCTTGACTTGTTTCCAGAGACCCCGTCCTATGTTTGTATCCAAGGATCTATACAGTGGAGGATTAGAATTTTCGATGAAATTTTGTAAAATTGGAATTTATTGAGTTCATTTTTTATTTGAATTTAAAATATTGTTGCATCATTGCTGCTTCCAGAGATACCTTTGATTCACGATTCTGCGTCCCATAGGCTGGCACTCCTTCCTGGTGTCACCCATGGAATTGGTGAACTTTTCTTCTGAAGTCTTAATCTTGTGGATCCATATTGATTAGGGTAAGGCTAAAATACGGAATCTTGCAGCCCCTGGTCAATACCTTTTGGGTGTAGTTATTCAATAAGTTATGTTTTGGGAGAACTGTATACAGCTGTAGCCAACTTTTAAAGCCCACTTTTAGTCCTTTGTCCACCAGACGCCCGGAAGGACTTTCCCAATGGCAAAAATCAAGACATGTCTGCATTTCCTTGCTCACCTGCCTCACAATGCTCTCGAAAGAGAAAACGAGATCAGCCTGGCCAGTTTTTACCGAACCACTGAGGTTTGTTGGTATTGGCTGCTTTATTTTCTAAATGCTCACCAACTCCTTCATTACACCACTTTAGGATTCTGCCGTGAGTTCACATCCAAGTGGATGAGTGTGTTGTTTCCAGAATCCACCTTATTTTTCTCCTTAGAAATTAAGACACTTTTACGTGTCCCCATCCTCTACACTTTTCTTAATGTCTTGAAGGTTACCGCCTGGCTTTTGGTCACATCGGTAAACTGGGTCAGGGTCATGAGATGTAATTTGTTTAAGTCAGAATGCTTGAGCTCTTATAAAGGAACCCTTTGTGACTCGAACTTCGTTTCCCAGCCAGCTCTCTTTGTCCGTTCAGTTTCAGTGTCAACACCTCCCTTCTTGATATGAAAGATCAAAACAGGGGCATCTGGGTGGCTCCCGTCAGTTGAGCGTCTGACTCTTGATTTTGGCTCAGGTCATGATCTCAGGGTTGTGAGATCAAGCCCTGCTTCTGGCTCCTCGCTGGGTGTGGAAACTGCTTAAGTGTTCTCTCTTTCCTTCTCCTTCTGCCCTTCCTCTGCTCCCCCCCCCCCCGCCCCCGCCGCCAAAAAAAAGATCAAAGGAAAACTGAGTGTTAGAAATACCTACTTTCTTTCTGTCATTGCCTCAACTGATGGGTATATCTTTTTTCTTACTCTTGGTCCCCAAACTGAAATTGCCTAAAACAAACAAATTAAAAAAACAAAAACAAAAACAGGGCCTATTTTATATTCCGTCATTTCCCCAAAGCCGTGTGAGTGTGGGGCACTCTTCTGTGTTTACCTACATTTATTTCCTCTTCCATTGTGTAGACGCACTTGAAACACAATCTGAACTCATCAGGAGCTCCTTTTGGTGCGTGATTGTTTTGTTCCATTACTAAACCATTTTTGTGAGCGTAGGGTCAGAATGCAATTTTAGCCTCTACGTAATTTATTCTTGTCTCAACTTTTTGAGGTTCAAGTGCCCATGGCATTCTTTTCCAGGAACGTTATGGAATCTGAGTCAATTCCCACATCCTCCCAAGATCCATGATGAAATGATAAGATACAAATTTGGGCCCATTCGTGGAACCCTTCTTTCTTTAACATGTTCAGCATGTTTTTGGAATGACCGTCCTCAAATCAAATTGATTCAACATATATGTTGAAATATATGTTATATATTTATAACATGCAAGCTGCTGGGCTGGGCACTAAGATATAGCGACCCAGAAGATAACCAGCTGTACCCTTGGATCACAGAAGTTGATTTAACATTGAAGTGAACGGGCACCTGGTTAAGCCTCCAACTCTTGGTTTCAGCTCAGGTCATGATCTCACGGTTTTGTGAGTTCGAGCCCCACGTCAGGCTCTGCACTGACAGCTCTGTCTCCCTCTCTGTCTCCCTCTCTCTCTGCCCCCTCCCTACTCGCCCTGCCTCTGTCTCTCACAAAATAAAGAAATAAACTTAAAAAAAATCGAAGTGAAAAGTGAATCTGAAGAGCTGAACAGTAATCCACGATTCAAGACAATCAGAGACGAGGCAGTATTTCCTCCCTCATTTCCTTGCCTGATGTACTGCTTCTAATGTGATGTTTTCTCAGGCCATCTTGAGTTTTGAATTGTGTTGTTGACTGACCATCTATCGGATTGCTCCCCGTCTCTACAACCAACTGTCCCCATTTCGGGGGTCACTACTCCAGCCCCATTAGCCAAAGACAGAAGTGGAAGAAATAGTAGCCTGCCCATTTCCTGCTTCTCCTAGGTCCATCCGATTTGAGCAGGACTCCCCTCCCTCCACACCCACGATGTGTCACGGTGGTGGTGGGGCAGGAGGGTCACCATATCGTGTGTAGCTGATATCCACATGCAGGGGACACTGTGTATGGCTCAGGTAGAATGACCGGCCGGCCAGTCTGTGCTGGGACATGCTTAGTCTTTATTTTTATTTCTGGTTTGTCTGTGGTCTTGCTGAGAAAATCCACGGTCTCCCTGAAGGGAGGCCACCAGGTTCTGGAAAAGAAGAGGGCAGACAGGTAATCCAACAAGGACTCAGGGTCAGCATAGCAGTGATCAGGCATTTGAGGTTAAAAATCTTTTCCCCTAAATTAATTAATGTGGTGACTCTGTTTCCTTGGGGGAAAAAGTGTTTATAAAAAAATAATTTTCGGGGCGCCTGGGTGGCGCAGTCGGTTAAGCGTCCGACTTCAGCCAGGTCACGATCTCGCGGTCCGGGAGTTCGAGCCCCGCATCGGGCTCTGGGCTGATGGCTCAGAGCCTGGAGCCTGTTTCCGATTCTGTGTTTCCCTCTCTCTCTGCCCCTCCCCCGTTCATGCTCTGTCTCTCTCTGTCCCAAAAATGAATAAACGTTGAAAAAAAAAATTAAAAAAAAAAAATAATAATAATTTTCAAAGGATCCTGCTAAAGCTGCTACAGTCAGACTGCAGTGAACCCCTTAACCTATCTCAGGTGCTCTGAGTTATAGCAACTCCGTGTTCTCGGCCTCTTTAAGTTATAATGCGCTTGCCAGAAGTTTCCATAAAAACCCTTGTCATCCTTTCTCCCATTCCAGCCATACCTTCAAGGCCCTCCTCTCTGTGTTTTGCCCCATCTTTCATTCAATCAGTTTCAAGCTTGATTTTGAAGTTAAATTTTATTTTTCCCACAGCATGCTCCAGTATTTAGGCAGTGGTATTTAAAAAAAAATTTTTTTTAATGTTTATTATTTTTGAGAGAGAGACAGAGAGCAAGCAGGGAGGGGCAGAGAGAGAGGGAGACACAGAATCTGAAGCAGGCTCCAGGCTCTGAGCTGTCAGCACAGAGCCCGACATGGGGCTTGAACTCATGGACTGTGAGATCATGACCTGAGCCATTATCGAGAGCCAGACACCTAACTGACTGAGCCACTCAGACTCCCCTCAAGTACTATCTTTGAATACCATTTCTTATTTAATCTTTGCAGCCCTGTGAGATAGATAATATTTCCCCTATTTTATGGAATGAAGAGGAAAACACGGGTGGCTCAGAGAGGGCATGTAACTTGGTCAAGGACACA